CTTCTTTGTTCGCACAGCTCCCGGGGCTCAGCTTTGGATTTGGCCCCACCTCTGCGTGTAGGTCGCTGGAGGGCGTCTGTTCTTCTCTCAGCCGGGACAGGGTTAAAGGAGCCGCTGATTCAGGGGCTCTGGCTCACTCAGGCCAGGGGGAGGGAGGGGCACGGTGTGCGGGGCGAGCCTGCGGCGGCAGAGGCCAGCATGAAGTTGCACCAGCCTGAGGCGCGCCGTGCGTTCTCCCGGGGGAGTTGTCCCTGGTTCCCGGGACCCCGGCAGTGGCGGGCTGCACAGGCTCCCCGGAAGGGGGTTGTGGATAGTGACCTGTGCTCGCACACAGGCTTCTTGGTGGCGGCAGCAGCAGCAGCCTTAGCGTCTCATGCCCGTCTCTGGGGTCCGCGCTTTTAGCGGCGGCTCGCACCCGTCTCTGGAGCGCCTTTAAGCAGCGCTCTTAATCCCCTCTCCTGGCGCACCAGGAAACAAAGAGGGAAGAAAATGTCTCTTGCCTCTTTGGCAGGTCCAGACTTTTCCCCCGGACTCCCTCCTGGCTATACGTGGCGCACTAAACCCCTACAGGCTGTGTTCATGCCGCCAACCCCAGTCCTCTCCCTGCGCTCAGACCGAAGCCCGAGGCTCAACTCCCAGTCCCGCCCTCTCCGGCGTGTGAGCAAACAAGCCTCTCGGGCTGGTGAGTGCCGGTCGGCACTATAGTTCTTCAGAGGACAGAGATTACTTTTAGCTGGAGTTGGGGCATGGGGCTAGGGGAGTGGGGTGAGGTTGAGTTGTACCCTAAAGAATGAATGGGATTTAAGGATTTAGATAGATAAGAACTCATATCAAGTTATTCCATTTTGGAATGTATTCCAAAATGAAGATACAAAAAAGTAAATATTTTCTTTTGGGGATTGCAGCTGCCTTTTTCCTCATAAGAAAACCACCCCTGGTGGTACACTATTAAACAGAGGCAATCATGTTGTCCTATTTTTCTACCAAAGCTTACACACCAGTCTGTTACAGGTATTTCCTATTTGGAAAATCAAAATTCCAGGAAGCTCTCACCCTTACTCTCACTTCTTGCTTTAGGACAAAATTAAAATGTACAAATAATAAAAATTCATGGAGGGATATATCATGCTTATGTTAAAGGAATAACTCAAAACTGTTCTTTAGCTAAGTTTTCCATATATTGGTTTACAAATAGCTGTTCATTTACAATTAGAAAAATATTCATTCATTGAACAGATTGTTGTTGAATATCTCTTATGTTCTGGTAAACAATCATATACAGTCCCAACCTTTGTGGAACACGTAGTCTTTCAGTAGAATGAGATATTAAAGTTATTCACTCAGATAAATACTTGTGATTCGTGGTATATATAAAGAATACAGGATTTTGACCAAGTTGGTGAGTCTTTCTAGAGGAAGAGACATTTAAACTAAATTTAAACTAATTCCTATATATATTTACTATACTACATTTAAACTAATTCCTATATATATTAAAAAATATACATAGGAATTAGTGGAGCAAAACTTGGGGGAAGAACATTTTAGGAAGGAGGACACATGTGAAGCTTTTGAGGCAGGAAAGCTTGTCCTTTCAGAGGACTCAGAGACCAGCGTGGCTGAGCTCAGCAAGTGGGAGAGTAAGTCACGGTAATTGAAGGTAAGATTATATAGGACTTTTAAAATGATTTCTTTGGTGGGCTCTGGAAGGGAGTTTAGTTAGGAGTCTAATGCAGTCACCTGGGGAAGAAATAATGGTAGCGTGGATTAGGATTTGGCAAAGGGATAATAAGAAGTGAATAGATTTGAGAGTTATTTAGTTGTAGAATCAGAAGTTAAAATTGGTTGGATGTAGGCCTTACATCTGCAGTGTAGTTTAGTCCTTATGAAACTCTCATAAAACAATATTTTATGGCTCTAACCTACAGTTTTACATTGATTTTGCATTGCTTAGCCTTATTCTTTCTTGCGGCCCAGCTATATAATCCCATTAAATGGACATCTGTGACTACCCTTCTTTTTGTCTTTAGCGCAACTTCAGCTAATTGTTAATAAGGTGGTTTTTTCCAAAGGTATAATGCATCTGGTGGCTGTTTCCCTCCTTTCTCCTAATAGTGAAATTTGAGTCAGGTCCCCTTTGCATGTTGTTGTTTTTTTTTGTCTGTTCCTAAAGTAGATCAATAAAAGTGAATTGGCTTTCAGCTATATGTTACTGGGCTTCATAAGATTGTTTTGTTTTTGCCTTTTTAAAAAAAATGTCAGGTTCTATTGCAGGCAATCCTACTTTTGAAATGTTATTTTTTTCTTCAGTAAGCCTAGTTTCTATTTTATTGAAATATTTATATGCATATAGAATTTTCAATCTTCTAGTAACATCTGAAAGACAGTTTTTTCCTTGTCTTAGTTGACTTTTATGGCATTAAAATTCAAAAGTCATGTTGAACAAGGGGTCTCAAACATTTTCAGAGATGCTGTAGATTATCTAGGCTCTCTTTGTATATTATAACTTGACTTTTAAATTAGACCAATGAATATTTATTAGTTATTTTTTTATCCGGGGGTTTTATATTTGGATATATCTGTCTATGTATATTTTTTTAAATAACATTCTTTTTAAAGTTTTTAGGCTTTCTGTTTTATTCTTACATGTTTCAACATTTCACTGCTGGGTTGTTTTTAGGATTACTGAGGGGGTTCTTTGTTTTCTTACATAATTGGTTTCCTTATAATTTTTTCTTAAATTCCTTACCATAGCACAACTTAAAAAGAAAGCTTTTTAGATGAAAGGCAAGAACTCTCTTATCTTAATGACAGTCATTGCAAATAGTGCAAAGATGAAAGTTCTTGAGTTGTGCCTTGATCATATGTGGTCTCAGAAATTTCTTACATATGATTATGTTTTTAAAAATACTTGCTACTTATAGTTAACATTCAACCATAGTGAACATTTGTTTTTCATATGGATATTTTTTACAAGATCAAAGCAATAGTTAATGTCTTTGAAAACCTCAGTAGTTGTTTTATTGAATACATTACTGTTTTATGCCCTACATGTCATTTTAATAATTATCTTCCTGAAATTTTCTTAAGTGCTTGGTGATAAAGCCTAATTATGGTTTAAGACAAACAAAAATGAGAGAACTCAAAACATAAAGGTTTTTGCATTTTGAATATCATCTGTGGTTTGCATTGTGACCCTTGATTACCCAAATAACACAGTAGCAGGGTTGCAGCCAGGCCTGTTACCATGAGTTCATCCTTGAAAACTAGGGTCCTAGTACTTATCTTGCCTTTTATTAAAAAAGGAGTTTGTTTAATTAGAGCATCTCTGTATTTAGTAAATCCCTTGGTCGTTAATATCCATGACATTCTGCTGGAATTTGGTAGCAACTTGGCGTGTTTCAGAGTAACTGTGTATCTGAAGGGTAGCGTGACTTCAGGAGAGAATGATTTTATTTCGTTACACTTTTGGTAAAGTGTTGCCTCAAATAACACATTTCAAAAAACCATATCATTTAGAAATAGTTTTTTTTTGTCATTTCTTTTTTCAGAATTAGTTATATTAAAATGTTTTTTAATGTTGATAGTTATTAAAACCCATAGAAAAATTGGAGAATGAACTTTATACCTTGCACCTGTATTCACCACCTGTTAATATCTTGCCACACCTGCATGTTCACACACAAACACAGACACATGCTTTTATTTTGCCATATTATCTGAAAGTAGGCTAAAGACATCATGACACTTCATCCTTAAATTCTTCAGCATGTATCTACCAAGAACAAGGACAGCTTCCTATGTATTCACAGTTCTATTATGTTTCTTAAAAACAATATTAATTTAGTAATATTATCTGGCATATGGTCCATATTCAAGTTTCCTCAATTATCCCCAAAATGTCCTTTATAACTATTTGTTTTCACCCAGGATCCAATCAAAGTTCACACACTATATTCGATTATTATGTCTCTTTAGTCTCCCCCAATCTAGGACAGTCTTACTGCCTCACTTGTTCTTTATGACACTGAAATCTTTGTAGAGTTTAAGCCAGTTGTCTGCAGGATCACTCACATTCTAGATTCATTTGTTTCTTAATAATTAGATTCAGGTCAAACATTTCCAGTAAGAACACAGGGATATTTTGTAATCTCCTGTTGCATCACATTAGGAGTCACTTTAATTGCTGTGTAGTATTCCAGTGCATGAATCTACCAGTTTATTCATTCTACTTTTGACAGATATCTGATTTGTTTCAAGTTTTTGACTATTATGAGTAAAGCTGCTATGTGTAGTCTTTTGGGATCAGTAGTTGGGCATAGCTTGTGGGAAAGGATTTTGGCAATTTCTTTACCTAGGCAAGACCTGGAGTGCTGTGTTCAGCTGCCAGAATCCTCTCTGAACCTTTCATAAAACATTGAGAACATAGTTTTGAATTTTATTTATGTAAATGTTAATATATTTTTTCATAGCCTACAGTACCAGATCTATTTGCCACTTATTATGAAGGCAACCCTTGCTCACACAATCCAAAAAGGGAATACTGTTTATTCTCTCTGCTTGAAGAATACAAATTTCCATGTTTTGTTGGATAGGAAATGTATATCAACTCATATATGTAAATTTGAATGGAGTATAACCACATACAATATCTTATTTTTTGGATTGTGGAATCTTATTAAGCTGGCATAACCTTTGTCATATCTGTGACCTTAGGAGAGCTTCTAAATTTCGTACCTCATAGAACTAAATGAAGATAGTTTATTTAAACATGTGCATGCATAGATAGTTGGAACTCACTTATTGTAAATTGTGGGACTTGGAGTCAACTGTTTACATAGGTATCTACAACACCAATGGAGACTGAATTTAAAAATCATGTAAAAGCTTTTCTGTGTAAGAAAGAAGGACAGACAGCAAAGGTAGCAGAGCAAAAATAAACTTCTGTTCATACTTTTATATATGTTCACTGATTTTTACATATATATATTTTTTTCCAGTAGTGGCTACGGAGGAAGTAGTTACTGCAGAATCTGTGGATGGTGCAATTCAGCAAGTAGTTAGTTCAGGGGGTCAGCAAGTCATCACAATAGTTACAGATGGAATTCAGCTTGGAAATTTGCACTCCATTCCAACCAGTGGAATAGGTCAGCCCATCATTGTGACCATGCCAGATGGACAACAAGGTTGGTAGAAGGCATTTACATAAAGTTTGCATTTATTCTTAATCCTCAGGAAATTGTGACATGTTTTTCAAAGCATTTATTTTTGCCTTAAATTTTGTTTTTGTAACCTTTTGCAGCAGACTTAATTGCCTAGTTTTATTTGCTTAGGCTACTGTTAAAATTAGCTTGCTTTCTCTGATTGTATACTAGGTACAAAGAGGAATTGGCCCCAAAGTATTCTGGTTGGAAAATGAGCTTAAATAAATAATTCAAAATCAGTATTGGACAATACTTTCCTAGGCCATTTAATGAAATTCAGATATCATACGGGCTTTTAAAAACACCATGTGAAAAAGAGCTACTTAAAAAGAAGTTGGACTTAGGAGTTATGGTAGGAACATAGTGACAACTTTTAGCAGCTTTGTTGATAATTGTCCCAATTTTTTCCTTTTGAGTAATAAGAGAGTAGTAATAAGATAGATGAAACATAAGCCCCAGTTTCATGTTTAGTGAACCTAAAAGACTGAGAAAACCACAAAATTCCATATTTTAAGTGCTTGCCAAAAACATCTTAAGATCTAAGCCAGGGCAGTATCAGGGGAACCCCCAGTCGTGCATCAAGAAAAGGGGTTGAGCTCAGAAATCAGCAATAAATATACACTTCCAGTAAGACAGGGCCCAATCTGAGTAGGAAGTGCTGCAAGTAGGATTAAGATAGACTAGAGCATGAAAGCTGGAGGAAGCAGAAAGAGAAGGTGCAGAAAGTTCCTATCTGAACAAGCATCCCAGTACCCAGTACTCTGTACTCCCCAACCCCCCACCAAAAAAAGTATGTGCACACATAACCTTTTAGAAAACGACTAGGATTGCAGAGACCAACCCTCTTCATGGCCTGTGAAGGAATTAGGGAATGGAAGGGCTGGAGGTAGAAGTTCTCCTAAACCAGGTTTGGTTTAGAGTGATAGTGGAGGTATGGCCCTGCAGAGAGGCCAGGTCTCAAGGAATGATTTTGTTGCCATAGCAGTGGAGGAGGAAACCCTTGACCTGTGGAGCCTGGGAGGCTTTTCTCACCGCTATGCAGAAATCTCCTGCTGGTGGTCCAAGATTTGGATCAAGCCCAGGTACTTTCACAAAGCTTTAAAGAACTAATTCTAATTATATAGAAAAGAAGAAACTTTCAAAGTATTTGTTTTAAGCAGATATAACATTGTTTCCAAAACCTGACATTATACACACAGTCTAATCTCATTGATGAACAAATGGAAAGAAACTCATGTTTTTGGATAGGATGACTCACTATTATAAAGCTCTCAATTCTTCCTGAGTTAATTGATAAATGTAATGTGATAGGAAAAAAAAGACTGTATTAGTTTGCTAGGGCTGCCATAACAAACTACCACAGACTGGGTGACTTAACAGAAGTTTATCTTCTCACAGTGCTGGAAGGTGGAAGTCCAAGATCAAGGTGTTGGCAGGTTTGGTTTCTTCTGAGGCCTTTCTCCTTGGCTTGCAAATGGCTGCCTTCTTGCTGTGTCCTGATATAGTCAGCCCTCAGTCTGTGTGTGTTGTCTGCGACCTAACCTCTTATAAGGAGACCAGTCATATTGGATTAGGACCCACTTAAATGACTTCATTTTGGACTTCTCTGGTGGCGCAGTGGTTAAGAATCTGCTTGCCAATGCAGGGGACGTGGGTTCGAGCCCTGGTCGGGGAAGATCCCACATGCCACGGAGCAACTAAGCCAGTGCACCAAAGCTACCGAGCCCGTGCTCTAGAGCCCGCGAGCCACAACGACCAAAGCCTGCGTGCCTAGAGCCCATGCTCCGCAGCAGGAGAAGCCACCACAATGAGAAGCCTGTGCACTGCAACAAACAGTTGCCCCCGCTCGCCACAGCTAGAGAAAGTCTGTGCACAGCAACGAAGACCCAACGCAGCCAAAAATAAAACCAAAATCTCATTTTACCTTTTTAACCTTTTTAAAGGCCCTATCTCCAAATACATTTTGAGGTACTGGGGGTTAGGACTTAAAACATTTGAATTTTGAGGGGGACACAATTCAAGCCATAACAAAGACCAATAGGTCTTTTTCTGGAATTAGCCAAACAGATTCTGAAGTTTATTTTGATAGAGGAGGAGGGAAGAAGAATAAGGATAACTAGAAAAGAAGAGCAATGAGAGGACCCTACTGAATATTAAAATAAACTTTTAAAGCTTTCATAATTTAAAAATTATAACTGGAAAATGAATATATAGACTATGTAGGTAGTCCAGTGAAACAGATATAATTCTCAGTTCTTCTTGAGTGAATTTATAAGTGTAATGTAATATGGTATGAGTTAAAAGAAATACTTTAATTCTCAATATTTCTAATGTTTTAATTACATTGTACTAAATAAATAATAGTTTTACTATTTTTTCATTTATTTACATTTATAAATGACAGTAGGAGAGTTTTTAATGTTTTGACAACCTTAAAGGCTGTAGGACAGTTGTAATTTTTCCCATTGATGATTAAGATTGTTTTGCATAGTTTTAGCTTGCACAGTCATGTTTATGTTCCCACACTGGTTATGCAAAGCAAGGACAGCCTCTTGCTCTCTGTATATTTATGTAAAGATATTTATGTACATTTATGTAAAGAGATACTAAAAATTGGGACAGTCTAACAACCCAGTGGAAAAACAAGCAAAGTTTATAAACAGACATTGTTCATAATGGTGTATCCTCACAGTGGAATATAATGCAGCTAAATGAAAGAAAGCTCTCTGTGTCTTGGTGAAAGATAGCCTAGATATATGGAGTGAAAAAAGCAGACACAGAACGATATATCTATCTTATGTATGTTTGAATGTATGTTTTATATGTATGCTACCTTTCGTGTAAGAGAGAGAAAAAGGAGAATGTATATTCATGTTTGGTTTTACATAAATGAACACAAGAACAATGTATAAGCAACCAGTAAAAGTATCTGTTTTAGCAAGGGTGAAGTCAGACCTCTCAAAATATGCTTGTTAAGTATTATTTTGATTTTGAGCCAATGAATATATTATCTATAAAATTAAAAAACGTAAGTAGGTACCTTAAACAGTAAGTAGTTTTCAGTAAATAGACAAGAAGTTGAAGACAAATATGGACATTTCTCATAAACAGCAAATTAGTGTTTTGAAATTATTGTTTTTGGAATATATTTATTTTAGATGAGTTGCATCAACAATCTCAAGACTAGTTTTAATTCTTCTAAACCTGTCTGTAAATGAAGTAATGTGTACATTTTTTCATTTTAGTATTAACAGTACCAGCAACAGACATTGCTGAAGAAACTGTTATAAGTGAAGAACCACCAGCCAAGAGACAATGTATTGAAATAATTGAAAACCGGGTGGAGTCTGCAGAAATAGAAGTAAGGAGTCTTTTACCCGGTGTGTTTTGCTGCAGTCATCCAAAATAAATTCCATTTGCTTTTCTTTCTTTCTTTTTTTTTTTTTTTTTGTCTTTTATATTTATTACTGACAGTATTGTTTTGATATGGCATGAGTACTTTTTTGTCTAATTTTTTGGCCTTATCCATATAGCAAGCCTTCAATAAATAAATATTGAATGAATGAATGAATGAGTAAAGAATTTGTTTGTAACAAAGTCTGTCATCATGGTAACATTGGAATGTCTTTTGTTCTTGTACTGCATCCTTTATTTTCTATTAAATTTACATACATCATTCTCCCAAGTCACTAAAGGGAATGTCACTATATATTGACTAAAAAAATTTTTTTCTTTCAAAAGTGAAAGGCGAATGCCTATTTGGGCTGGAATATGCTCTTAAAGAATGTTGAAGTTTGTCAGCTGAGTTATTTTGTAAAAAGCCATAGGTAACTGTTTATTTCACGATTAAGTCCCTTAAGGAAATTAAATTTAGACTGTTGATAGGATTCACCTTCTTTTCCCTCTGCCAAACTAGTTTGTAATTGTAAACTAGTTTGTAAGTGTAACCAAACCATAGTTATTACCTCACAGATTTTTTTCTCACATGACTGTAAATAAAGTTATGTTTTCCAAAGTTGATATTAACTTATATCAAATGAAAATAAGATCATTCTTGAATAACTTTGAAAGAGCAACTGCAGTGTAAAGAAAAGAATATTGGACTTGAAATTACATGAGCTGGATTTGAATCCCACCTCTTGCCCCTCCCTATTAGCTTTGAGGCAAGTTATCTTACCTTTCTGAGTTCCTGTTTATTTTCTCCCAAATTGGAATTTAAGATAACAATATCTGTATTTTGGGGTTTCTATGAGAGTTGAAAAAGTCAGCATACTCATTATATACACATTCATAATATCTAATATGTGTGAATAATAAATGTTGGTGAATATTTAGGAATTCTTTGTTATCATAGAAAAGAGAGGATTTAAAAAAATGCCATCTAAAGGCAACATAATTCTGACTGAGGACAATTAGAAAATATCCTTGCCCAAATTCGTTTACATGTAAGACTGGTACATCTTTGGCCACAATCTCAAAGGACATATTATTGAGTTACGAAGAATTTGATTCATGGTTTAACCAGAATGTTTGATAAACTTGTGACTTTAATTATTGAGGGTGAGTTGTTTCATTTCTTCAAAATTTAAAGTGATATTCAGTACACTGAAGTTTTTATAAACTAACCATTTATTTCATTGAATGGTATCAGTATACTTATTATTTTAAAATCTTTAATGTCTTTTACTGATAAATCAGTTGATCTTGTTTTCTGGCATATAAGGTGAGAAAGATTTTGTGATGTACTTTGCTTTAACTATTTAATAAAACATTTTTAAATTACTTGAATTTTTATTGAACATAAACTGACTCAATTCAACATTTCTTTTAATTGAAGTATAGTAGATTTATGTCAATTCAACATTTTCAAAATAATGAATGTGCAGGCTGTACTTTTATTTACCTAACAACCAGTGAGAATTTCTGTTTTCATCAAAGATCAACCTAATTCCACTCTTACAGTCTTTCAGAGACCAAGGAGAATAATCGCAAATAACAAGAAAGTGTGAATTGAGGTATATAAATTAACTAGAACCAAGGAGATTAGCACTTCAGGGAGATGGAATTTTAGCTTGATATAAAGAACTTCACGAGTTAGTTTTAGCTTAATTTTAGTAATTAGAGCTTTCTGGTAATGGAAGTCTTATTCTCCATCACTGGAAATGTTCAAGCCAAAGTTGCAGGATGTTAGAGCTATTACAGAGAGACTTTGAAGCATGCAGTGAGAAGAGATGGTAGAGGTGGGCAGGGGATACAGAATGAAGAGAGACCTCCAATGTTTTCTAAAACCAGGTAATCATTTCCTTATAGTACATAAGAGTTCTTTTGATTTTATTTTCTGAGGTGACCAATAGAGTTATCTTGGGGGTATACTTTTATATTCCTTTCTAAGTGATTGCTTAGCCATTAACCCAAAAAGTTTCTCTAAAGCAGTGCTTCTCACCTGGAGCAATTTTGACCCCAGGGGACATTTGGCAATGTCTGGATACATTTCGGGTTGTCACAATGAGGGACATGCCACTGACATTTAGTGGATAGAGGCTGGGGATGCTGCTAAACACTATACACATCCTACAATGTGTGTTTTGCCGCTCAGTTCTGCAGTTGTGGTAGGAAAGCAGCCACGGGCAATTTGGAAATGAGTGGGTATGGCTGTATTTCAGTAAAACTTTATAAAAACAGGATCATATTTGACCCATGGCAGTTAGAAAATGGACAACTCAATAGACAAGGAGAGAGCTCATACACCCTGCCTAGTTTCTCTCTTTTTAAAAAAAAACATTTAATGGTTAAGAATATGAGTCTGGAAGCAGATTTAGGTTTGAATGATAATTTTCTGAGTGTGATTGGTCAAGTTATTTAGCCTTTCAAGGCTTGGCCTCCCCATCAGTAAAAAGGGGAAAATAATAGCACCTACATTATCAGAGTGTTGTAAGGTTTAAATGAGAATGCATGTGAAGGACTAGTACAGTGGTGAGCATATAGTAAATGCTCAGTAACTGTTAGTTGTATTATTATTATCTTCTAAAATTTATATTGTGGTATGGTAGAAGATAAATCACTTTAATGATTTTTTTTTGCTTTATAATAGCTAAAGTAAAATAAATTTGAATATTAGAAAATTACATATAAACTATTAAAAGATAATTGTTAATAGCTGAAGCAGAATTCAAGAATCTTGTTTGGAATTTAAAAAGCAAACTCGAAGTCTTTCTTTGTTCTATTATTCTGTTGCCTAATGTAATCATAATATATTGCTTGGGCTTGGAGTTGAAGTGTAAGGTATCTTCCTTACTGCTTTCATCTCCTGAAATAATTGTGAATCTCTTGCTGTTTCTAAGTGTGAATAAATAGGTAATACTAGAAGATGCCTTAGAGTTAATCTTTTCTAATATTTCCAACCAAATCAGGGCAAGTTTTTATCCATATTCAAAACTTTGGCTGCCAAAGGATCTTATTTCTTAGTACATGTAAAAGTATAAAACACTTATGCATGGCTGTACTCACAGGCTGTACTCCTGCCAGAGGTAGGGGTCTAGCTCCCACCCTTCCACTGGTGCCCAAATTCCTGCATAGTTCACTGCCAGGGACTGGTGTCATTTGCTTACGTGAGGCTGGCATCTTGCCTGAAGTAAGGAGAAAAGGATAGCAGGGTAGGGCGTAGGCATTTCTTCTACTTGTACATTTTGTGTAATTGGAAGATTTGGAGACTACTTATATAATCAATCACTCTTACATTTGGTGGACTCATGGGAAAAATAAATGTTAGATCTAGCTTCATTCTCAGTGTGGAGAAGGCAGTGGGATCACAGGAAGGCAGGAGTATTTTACATGTTCCTCCTTGTGGACCATGTGAATAGTGGAGGGTAGGGAATCTTTCGGTGTTCACAATGGACAAGGGTCTAGGAGGCAGTGGAAGAGACCACAGTGCCCTCTTTCCCAGCAAGCTTCTTACTCCTCGCCTTTACCTTCAGTTCTCTCTCTTTTAAGTGTCTTGTCCAGTGTGAACCTGGCCTCTCTTTGCCATTAGTAGTCCTACCCTCAGCCCCCACCCCAAGCAGAAGGCCTGGGCTTCTGTAATGAGGTTGAGCTTGGACCTGGGCAAGTTGAGTTTTTGTCCATGTGCTTACTAGAGGTATGGGAAAGGAATCTTTGAAGTGTTTTCCCTTAGGCAACTGTATAGGGACAGAGTGAGGAGAGGAGAAAGAATACCACTTACATTGGACCAGATTTGTGTTTTTCCTCTCAATTTGTTCAGGAATTTGATACATATATTTTACAGCATATAATATAATGAATCACAGTAAAGAAATTAGTATTTTATTGGTTTGTAAAATGGTATAATTTAGGAAACACTAATCTAGACCAGCACTGTTCATTTTAAAGATGAGGAATCTTGCTTGCTGTCATAGGGAAAGATAGTTTTATTTATTTACTTTTTTATAAAAATTTATTTATTTATTTATGGCTGCGTTGGCTGCTTTCTCTGGTTGCGGCGAGTGGGGGCTACTTGTTGCGGTGTGCGGGCGTCCCATTGCGGTGGCTTCTCTTGTTGTGGAGCGCAGGCTTTAGGCACGTGGGCTTCAGTAGTTGTGGCACAAGGGCTCAGTAGTTGTGGGTCGTGGGCTCTAGAGCGCAGTCTCGGTAGTTGTGGTGCACGGGCTTAGTTGCTCCGCGGCATGTGGGATCTTCCTGGACCAGGGCTCGAACCCATGTCCTCTGCATTGGCAGGCGGATTCTTAACCACTGTGCCACCACGGAAGTCCCAGGAAAGGTAGTTTTAAAGGCAGTAATATTAGAACCTCATAACCCTGACTCCTTATTGTGTTACCATGAGAAAGCTACATTGTCTCTGAGCATCATTTTCCTCATCTGTAAAATGGGCATAATGTCTGTCTTAGAGACTTGTTATTGGAAATTACCTTGTTTATATATATAATGGGTGCTCATTAAATATTAAGTTTTTTATAATTAGTAGCTTTTTAACATCACAGATAAAGATGTGAAGAGGTATGGTGGTATATTTCCCTGTTAAAGTTCTTCACTAGTTTTTGTAGTATGTATAAAAATACAGGTACCCAATTTGGGTTCATTATGTTAGTCTTATTTCTAATTAGAAAATAATTTCCTTGAGGTCAGAGACTAATCTGTATCTCGTAGTGTGGAGCTCGAAACTAGGGCTTTAATTATAAGGGAATTGGTGAAAAAGGCAAGATGTCTCAGAAATACCAATACATGGCTACTTCTAGCAACTACAAATTTTTTTATTTGAAAGATGCATGCTTGTATGTGTTATTGTATTTGTGCAACAATTGAAAAAAAACTTTTTTTTTAAATTAGGAGAGAGAAGCTCTTCAGAAACAGCTGGATGAAGCTAATCGAGAAGCACAAAAATATCGACAGCAACTTCTAAAGAAAGAACAGGAAGCAGAGGCCTACAGACAGAAATTAGAAGCTATGACTCGTCTTCAGACTAATAAAGAAGCTGTTTAATTGAAATGAACATATAGTTTGAGTTTACTTTTGGTCAAGAAAGAATACAGTCTTGAACTGTACACAGTAAGGTGCAGTCATGGGAAGACAGGATAATAAAAGAGACTGCAGCTTGATAATTGGACTTAAGCCATGAGCTCTGGATTCTTGTAACATAAAACTTTACTCTAGAAGTTGTGAAATGTATTTAAAACTGAATTCTGTAAATAGTTTTTTTTTTTTACAGTTCCAAATGCGTTGATAAAGATTGTTGAAGAGATCCCAAAACACAATAAGCCACTGTTTTTTGTGAATTCTTTTTGATTTTAGTACAAACCTTAATTTCTCAGAAACAGAACAGTTTTAAGGGTGATCGTTGTTGATTAGACCAAATGTTGTGTAATAATTATGTGGTGGACTGATGCTGGAATTACTCCTGTAGGTATAAACTTCTATATGAAGAGAAGATTTCTCCCAGGAAATCTTGTACAGCTTTAAGTTGTCTCAGATTCTCTGAAAACATTTTTTAGAAAGCAAATTTTTATATTTGTTCAATTTCAGCTATACCCACGTAGATTTACATGTATATGAAGCAGATATTTTTAAAAATTTCTGTTTGTACATATTCTGCATGTTTTATAATTTCAAAATGCATCACTTGCATAGGTATTTTTCCCACAAAGATGACGAAAGTTACTAGGAAAGAAAGAAACCCTTTTATTCTATAGGTCATTGAAACTAAGTAAGCTAGCAGCTGGTTTTATTGGAATGACAATGTTCTTGGAAGGAGCAGCTTACAAGATACCTTGAATTTGCAAACTGCAACATCTATGCTTTTTTGAAAATTTCATAGTGGGGATGTGAAACAATTCTGTGCCTTCCATCATGATTTCCACATGAAAGCACTTTAAGGCACTGGATTTTAATATAATGTTTTCAGAAAACTCAAAGCATATGGCTTTCTGAAATATTTCGTGGACTCATTTCCTCCCCAGGAAATAATTCTTATGAAAAAAAAATTGCTTTTGTATGGTAGAACAGGAACTTTTTGTACTACGGTGATGCTATAGATATGTCTGACATAACTTTTACTTTCCCTGTGAAAGCTGTATGTCTGTGCTGTGACTGGCTCTCATCACAATATTGTTCAATTCCACAATGTATGGACATTAAACTCTGACATAGTGTTCTTTCTTTTTTGTAAACATAACTTCAAGTTCTTTTTCTTGTTTCATTTTTAAATGTTTTATTGCTTTATGAAAATGTTTAACCCTAAGACCCTTCTAGATTACCTATACTGTATAAAGAAGCAATTACCCTTAAAACTGTACTCTGCCCTACTTTTCTATTTTACAATTAAATATCTTTTCCACATATGTTCAGTGTAGACTTATATTTTGACCACATTTTATTCACACATTAAAAAGTTTGTTCTGTGTATTACGGCCATATTCCACGTATGAAAATATTATAAATTCTTCACACTGTGTCTTAAAAGTATCTAAAACTGGGTTTTACAAATGCCAAGTCATATTTTCAGTTGCGTGAAGCTGCTTTTCTGTGTCTGTTTTTTAGTACGTTAGTGCATTTATGGATTTGTTATGTTAGGAAGGGTACCCTAACGTGTGCAGTGTCAGAGTAGAGCAGGGGCAGCGTGTTCACCCCACTGTATAGTTTTGCTTCCAAGACCAGATTGGCCCTGAAGATCCTTGAGAAAGTGTTGGAAACTAGCTTCTGAAAGTGAATTTAATGCCTTCTTTGATTTCTGGTCTTTTGTTCTGCTAGAAACTTTACCTGGTGCACGAAAGAATTTTGATCTATAATAACATTTGCCATAAATGGGAGAAAATAATTGATACTTAAGAGGAATAAGTGTATGATAGTATCAGGTAGACATTGAAATGTCTTGGGGGGAAGTCCATGTTTTTCAGAGTCTGTATGTTGGACTTGTGTAATTACTTAATCATCTACACCTGATTCACTGTACTATGAAATCAGAACTTAAACAAGAACTTATAACTAAAAAAAGCATTTGCTTTTTCTTTTTAGCCCGTTTTGAGGTGGGCTGGGAAAGCTTTGCATTCTACTTATTCTCAATGGTGTTATGAGCAGAAGATTAAGAGAACTGACAGAATAAAATAATAAAGTTTTCAGAAATCCACACTTAATGTGTTTCCAGTACATAATGATGGATTCATAGTTAAAGGTCATCAGGTTGCCACATTGATGGCTAATTATTTCCACTTATGTGTGAACAAACACCTTCTTTATTTTATTTTTTTTAGAAAACAGTCCACAGTTTCCTTTATTTCAATATTTGTGTGGTAAACAAAAATGCATGGGGATATTTTCGTATGGGTTGAGGATGTTTCTCTTTGTATATTCATGAAGGGAATGAGATATTGATTTTAAATGAACAAACACCTTCTTGAGCAGCCCTTCTCGACCAGGATTCTGCGAGAGAATCAAGCTCTGATGCCCTAAATGTTAGGGCCTAATGAATTAATTCCTTGTAATGAATTAGTTTCTGTTCCGTGCATCTGGAATAGTACTGGTCATGTACTTTCTAGACACTGAGTTCACTAGATGTCTTGATTGCCTAATTACTCGTTTACGATTTTAAAACTTCCCTGTGTACAGTCGCTAGAACTCTGGGGTTACAAATTCTAGGTTGGGTCTGTGATGATTTCAGAAAGCCTCATCTGACAACTGGTATCTGCAGAGACTGTGCTTCTCAACTAATTTTCATTTATTGTTACTTTATTTATGTCTCAGTTACTTCCCCAAAGGGCTTGTGTTGTCATTATTTTTACTGGCTTTTAGAAGTTATATTTTTTATTTATTTTTTTTGTTTTGTTTTTGTTTTTTTGGCGGTACGCGGGCCTCTCACTGCTGTGGCCTCTCCCATTGCGGAGCACAGGCTCCGGACGCGCAGGCTCAGCGGCCATGGCTCACGGGCCCAGCCACTCCGCGGCACGTGGGATCCTCCCGGACTGGGGCACGAACCCGTGTCCCCTGCATCGGCAGGCGGACTCCCAACCGCTGCACCACCAGGGAAGCCCTAGAAGTTATTTTTTTATGTCAGTCTTTCCTGATATCAACAGCAGGTAGTTTTTCTTTTACTCTACCAGTGGATTGCTTTATTTGTTTATGATGGTGGAGGGTTGGGAGTTCGAGAGCTTTCTTCTGTGACGTTCAAAATAACAGCTAAAGAGAGAAGGAAATAAATGTGAATATATAATTTGGACTATACTTGTTTTTAACAAAAAGGTCTGTGTACAAAATGTTTATCCAAAACATATTGCTAATGAAAATCTATGCCAGTATGTTTCTTCAACATGGTCATTGGATACTATTTATTGAAAATCAGAAGAAACCCTTGCCCATAACAGGAACTGATGAGTTGATAGATATTCATGGATACTTTATGCTGATATGACTAATTTTTTGTCTTACTCTGTACAAAGTTTCTTCCAGATGAAATCTATAAAGTTTCTTTGTGTCTTAATACCTGGAAGATCTTGAGAACTGACAAAATGTATCAAGAAGAAGACCCTTTTCAGATAAAATCACAAAACAATTGTAGGAACCTTTATATCCATATGGATGGGTTCCCAAGGCATTAGGACTCAGGCTTATATAGCAAATAGAAAAAAAAAAATTCTATTCACCTAGCTTCTATTGAGTAAATATCTCCTTCCATCATGTCAGATCAACTTAGGAATGAACTAACTAATATATTTGTTATTTTATTAAGTCATATTTACTGTACTTGGATTTCATTATAGATAACTAGTCTCTTGTAGTTTTGAATGATGTTTGCTATTTGCTTTCTCTATGTTAGGTGAGAACATCTCAATGCACATGGACTCAGTTTGACGTAAGCTCTTTGAATTCATTCTCAGATTACTTTGTGTAATTTGTGATGGAAAATACGCTTCTGGTTCCAAGTCAAAATTTTGATATCATTATTTTTGTGACTTATGAAAAGTATTTTCCAAATATATAGATAGTCATAGTTTTTTACATCATTTTGATACCCTGAGATCCTTTAAAAATATTTCACATTAATGATAATCAAGTAGTGAATATAATTTAGATATAGTTCTTGGGGCTCTTCATTTTTAGATAAGTATTGTAATTCCCCCGAAAACTACTGTTTTCTTCCTGGAAAAATTTTGACCTGATCTCTGTGATTCTATCCACTGTACTTTATTAATTGCTTACTCAAATTTTCATTTGAACAGTTTAGATCTCATGTGCATGGCTGATATGTAATGTTTTCTACATATATAAATATATGCAATTACAGTCTTACTACTGATTAATTACATGGATTATAATTTTGAATTTTATGAATTATTTTAATGTCTCCTTGGTTTTTCTGTAAGAAAATATTTTTTTTTAAAGGGCTTCAAATGCTTGGCTTATTTATTTATTTATTTATTTATTTATGGCTGTGTTGGGTCTTCATTTCTGTGCGAGGGCTTTCTCTAGTTGTGGCAAGCGGGGACCACTCTTCATCGCGGTGCGCGGGCCTCTCACTATCGCAGCTTCTCTTGTTGTGGAGCACAGGCTCCAGACGGGCAGGCTCAGTAGTTGTGGCTCACGGGCCTAGTTGATCCGCGGCATGTGGGATCTTCCCAGACCAGGGCTCGAACCTGTGTCCCCTGCATTAACAGGCAGATTCTCAACCACTGTGCCACGAGAGAAGCCCGAAAATATTTTTCTTGCATGCCAGATAAAAGTCAGTAAAGCATGCATTTTTTGTATTACTATTTTTCATAATTATCCTTTGCCTGCCATCCTTATAACTCTCAAGAATTATTTAAAGTTTAAATTGCATTTGCATGTTTTGCTATACAAAAATAACATACATTAAGAAAGCTTACACTTAAATGAATCTGTAGTCTCATTTTATAAAAAACTATCGGTCTGCCAGAGAACTGACTCTACTTCCAAACATTTCTGCGAAGAGTAATAGACTCTCAGCATCAAACACTGAAGCAAATTAAGAATGTTTACTACTTTTGTTAGATACAATTTAATACTCAGTTGTTTTAATCAAAACTTCAAAACATATAGAAGGGCATAGAGAATAATTTAACAAACATCCATGTACCTACCACCCAAATTTAATAAATTTTTTAACATCTTTATTGGAGTATAATTGCTGTACAATGGTGTGTTAGTTTCTGCTTTATAACAAAGTGAAGCTATACATATACACATATCCCCGTAACCCCTCCCTCTTGTGTCTCCCTCCCACCCTCCGTATCCCACCCCTCTAGGTGGTCACAAAGCACCGAGCTGATCTCCCTGCGCTATGCGGCTGCTTCCCACTAGCTATCTGTTTTACATTTGTCACTTTGTCCCAGCTTACCCTTCCCCCTCCTCGTGTCCTCAAGTCCATTCTCTAGTCACTTTGTCCCAGCTTACCTTTCCCCCTCCTCGTGTCCTCAAGTCCATTCTCTAGTAAGTCTGTGTCTTTATTCCCGTCTTGCCCCTAGGTTCTTCATGACCTTTTTTTTTTTTTTTTTTTTTAGATTCCATATATATGTGTTAGCATACGGTATTTGTTTTTCTCTTTCTGACATACTTCACTCTGTATGACAGACCCTAGGTCCACCCACCTCACTACAAATAACTCAATTTCATTTCTTTTTATGGCTGAGTAATATTCCATGGTATATATGTGCCACATCTTCTTTATCCATTCATCTGTCGATGGACACTTAGGTTGCTTCCATGTCCTGGCTGTTGTAGATAGAGCTGCAGTGAACATTGTGGTACATGACTCTTTTTGAATTATGGTTTTCTCAGGGTATATGCCCAGTAGTGGGATTGCTGGGTCGTATGGTAGTTCTATTTGTAGTTTTTTAGTATCAATTTACATTCCCACCAACAGTGCAAGAGTGTTCCCTTTTCTCCACACCCTCTCCAGCATTTATTGTTTGTAGATTTTTTGATGATGGCCATTCTGACTGGTGTGAGGTGATCCTTTATTGTAGTTTTGATTTGCATTTCTCTAATGATTAGTGATGTTGAGCATCCTTTCATGTGTTTGTTGGCAGTCTGTTTATCTTCTTTGGAGAAATGTCTATTTAGGTCTTCTGGCCATTTTTGGATTGGGTTGTTTGTTTTTTTGATATTGAGCTGCATGAGCTGCTTGTAAATTTTGGAGATTAATCCTTTGTCAGTTGCTTCATTTGCAAATATTTTCTCCCATTCTGAGGGTTGTCTTTTCATCTTGTTTATGTTTTCCTTTGCTTTGCAAAAGCTTTTAAGTTTCATTAGGTCCCATTTGTTTATTTTCATTTTTATTTCCATTTCTCTAGGAGGTGGGTCAAAAAGAATCTTGCTGTGATTGATGTCA